GGGCCAAGCTAAGACTTTATTTTTAATTACAAGAATAAAATCATGAGATTAATAGAATGAAGTAGTAATTTTATGTGAACAGCATGAAAAATAAAAAATGAGGAATGTTAAAAATCCTTTGAAGTTATACCTTGGTATAATACTTAATAACTATTAGAAAAACCCACTTTTAATACATCAGCATCAAATTATTATCAGTAGCAGGAACTTGAGGCTATCATACAAATTACTGCATCTGCTTTGAAGGAAGAACTACAGAAACTTAACTTTGTCATTTTAAGATGATTTTCTGGTAAAATGACATCTTTTCTTACCAATGTTATGACTGTGTTCTTGTAATTGAACTCAAAGTTTGGCTCTAACACTCCATTATATAATCAACAGAGGAGATGATTGGAATAGGAAACTATTTAATAATTGATAAAAATTGGATCTCGTATGAAAAACATGGATTTTAGGGAAGCGAGACAAAAATGAATGTTCTGCAGAACAATTGCAGCTCAACAATGGGCAGCATCAGCAGTAATAATAATTATCTATCAAAAATAACGAGATTATGCCAAACAAATTGACATTTTGCTCCAAATCTTGGTTCAATACGACTGTACTGGGTATTTCTGCACCATCAGAACATCATGACTACAAAAGAACAAAGTGATCTGCAGTAAAAGCAGCTTCCCATAAAGTCACATTTATATGTAGCCCTGTTGTTCGGAGTGTTTACATATCCAAATGCTGCTTTTTGTGTTGTGAGGTTGTCCAGCTGTGAGTCAAATCAAAGAACAACGGCTTGGTTTTCCAAGCGGTTCAGAGACGCTGATCCCAGCGTCTGCATCCAAATGTCGATGTAAAAGAACCGCAGAGTTTGGAAGTTTTGGTCGGAGGTTCGAGGACGAGTTTCGGATCCGTGTGAAGAAGAGCGGCTGCATTTGTTTAACGCCTGAGTCACGTTGAGGTGAATGGGGGGAAAAAAGGTCAAGTTGAAGATGTGGAGAAAGTCAAAATAAATTATTTTTTTATTAATCAAACCCTGAAAAAAACTTTAAGATTATTCATAAAGTTTAAAAATATTAAAAGAAACAGAAAATCTGAGTCACAATTAAAGAAATCTCAACAACTCAAAACGCAAAATAAATGTAACTGGAAGTTTTAGTATTTTTTCTATCGACGTATAAAATTGCCAATCTGACTGAGTTTGACCTATTTTGCAAAAAATGGCTGAAAAACTAAAAACACCAGGGCTGAAATGATTAATCAAGTTAATAATGATTAATCAGATTAATCTATTATTTAAATAATTGTCAACTGATTTAGGAATAAATTAATTGTTAACCGAGTATGCACTCAAAAAGGTCATTTAATTGATTAATGAAATAATAATCAACTAATTCAGTAATCGATTAATCATTAGCTGAAGCATACAGACTCTTAAAAAAGCCACTTGGTGAAAAAAATAACATATTCAGAGCGTTAATTAAACCAACACTGTACTAAAAATTTTTACATTTTGCATTTAAGATAAAAAAAAAAACACCTTCATCTGTAAATGTTTTAGCCAAAACTCCTAAAGTGGTGTAGCATTAGCATCATTTGGTTCAAATTCACTAAAGGAATGATACAGTTTTGGATTTTGGGGATATAAAATTTTGTTCTTATTTAAAAGAAAAGCTTTATTTAATTGTTTATTTGCATATTTTGATGCATTTCTAATGTCTAGAAAGGTTTACGTGGTCAAATAAAAAATTCTGTAGAATGTCTAATTTTTTATATAGTCGATTAATCGATTAATCGTTAACTGAAGTAGAGACTCAAAAAAGGTTATATGGTGAAAAAAATAATGTAATTATTTGTTTATTTGCACTTTTCAGTGTGTTTCTAAAATAACGTAAAAAGGCTTACATGGTTAAATAAAAAATCTGTAGAATGACATTTTTTAAATTTGATTAATCGATTAATCGATGCCACACTTATCAGATTTTTAATTGCAAAACACCTTAAAAGTGAAACAAATTGGCCATCACTCCAAAAACAGTAATCTAAATGAATCAACAGAGCAAAACTCTGGTAAGAGTGACAAAAATCTGGTTCCATCTTCCTTCTCCCGTTATAACCAGCAGTCAGAGGGAAGAGAAACTTCAAAAACAAACTCTGCCGCCTCCACGACTCTCTGCAGCCACATCCATCACTTCCAAGAGGCTCTGCCGTCTTCCATTAAACCGGCAGGAAATCCAGGCTCTCTGCTAAGCGGAAGTCAATCCCAGTCTGTGTTTAACCCAAAAACTCAGAGCGATTTTATGCAAATGGAGGAGTGACGTGGAACAAGAAGCTGCTCTTGACCTACATACTGAAGCTCCGACAGAGGCTTTTCCTCCAAACGGTCCAATGGAAACACCAGGAATCAGGCTGGGAGGAAGGAGAGGAGTCAAGTTTCTGATGGGAACGGGGCTTAAGCCAAGCTCCTCGTTTAAAAAAGTTTTATATATTCAGGGAGAAAAAAATCCTCAAAACCGGGCCAGAACTCTGAGGTGCGGCCGCTCTGGTTTTACACAGAGAGAGAAAAACCTCAGAAATGATCCGGGCCGGGCCCAAACCTCCAGGCTGCTCCGAAACGAGCAAAAACACGACCAGGATGAGCAGAAAGATGCTGCTGCTGCTGCTGAAGCATCTTCAGCTGCAGCAGCATCGATGAAACAGCAAAGAAACCAGACAGAAGGTCACAGAGTGAGAGGCTGGAGATTCACAGGCTGATGGCTTTTAACGGGTCTGATCATCAAAATAGTAAATAAAAAAAGATTTAACTGATGCGCTGATTTAAAAAAATACATCAAAACAGTCAATAAAAATAACATTTAAAAATGTATTTATTTAAAAAAAAAGTTTGGTTGATATAATGATTTAAAAAATTAAACATAATACAAAAATATTTAAATTAAGAAAGAAAAGTTTAGTTCATCTATTTAAAAATTAATATTAAAAAAGTTATGTTGATGTGTTGATTTAAAAAAAATATAAAAAATACTTAATGTAAAAGTTTGGTTGATTTGTTCACTAAAAAATAAAAATTAAAAGCATAACAAAGTTTTGTTCACATCGACTTAAAGTTAAAGAATTTCATGAAATTTATATAAAATTTTTATTCTTGATTAATTTTAAAAAGTATTCTGCTGATTTGTTGACTTAAATATAAATAAAAAATAAATATAATAAATAAAAATAATCTAGAAAATATATTAAATTAATTTTAGTAAAAATAATTTGCTGATCTGTTTATTAAAAATGAATAAAAATTAAATAAATAAAAGTACTAAATATAAAACAACATATTTTACTTAAACTTTTTGTGTATCTATTGATTAAAAAAATAAAATCCAAAAATATTTTTTTAAAAGGTTTTGTTAGTTAAAGGTACTCACATCTTTTGGACTTTAACAACTAATACAACCAAAAACTGAAATGAATTTAAAAGGTTTATAGAAACATGGTGGTGGCAGCATCATGCTGTGGTTTTTGAGCAGGAACAGAAAGATAAGGTTAAAGGGGAAACCCAGGAGAATCCTCCGTCCAGCAGCATTTATGTGACTTTAAACTCCTCACAGCTTAAGTTTGAAATGTGAAAACATTCTGCGCGTCTACGGGAAAGACGAGGTTTATGGTGCAACCGCAGCGTCAAATAAAAGCAGACAGGAAACAAAGCTTCACATGCAGCTCTCAATCTGACATCAGCCCTGCAGCGGCTCGCAAAATTAATTAGCAACACTCCCTGATATTTAATTAATCCCAAAAGCACGTGAGTCAGAAACGATTAGCCTGGAGCAGGGAGGAATCAGAGCCGTGATTTTTAAAGAAAAACCTAAATATGCTTCATGATTTAATTAAAAAATATAGAAAAATGCCTCAGGAGTAAACAGGCTGCTCTTTAGGAAGCAGGAAACATGGATGGGATTGGTCAGTTAACGGAGCCACTTGAAACAGTAACACACACACACACACACACACACACACACACAAGAAACAAAAACAATAAAACAAAAAGAGTAGAAAAGCACAGCGAGTTGCTCTAAACGGCTGTGTAAACACACACTGCTAATCCACTCAGGCATAAAGAGCAGCAGCAAACCCAGAGATTGGACGCAAGAGATTTAGATCAACACACACACACACACACACACACACACACACACACACACACACACACACACACACACACACACACACGCACCTGTCTGTCCAGCTTGGCTGGACAGACAGGTGCAAAACTCCTGTGTGACGTCACACTTCCTAGTTTAGATCAGAGGAAGGTCCAGACTCAGGGAATATAAATACTTTTTCATTCTGCAAAAAGTTAAAAAATCTACTGATTTCCTGTGTTTCCTTCAAGGTCTGATCTGTACGGAAGACCATTAGTGCCACTGAGGAAAAGAAAAAGAATTCTGACTATAATATCTGTGAGATTGAAGTCAGGATTAAATTTTTTCTTCATAGTTTTGACTTTCTTCTCATAATTCTGGAAAAATAAGTCAGAATTATTTACATTCCTGAAAAAGTGGGAATTCTGAGGGAAAAAAAGTCAAAATTCTTTATTTGCTTTGAGAAAGTAAGAATTCTGAAAGAGCAAGTCAAGATGCTCAGAAAAAAGTTGAATTTTTTCCCCCCCAGAAAATCCTGAAATATGTTCAGAAGAAAAACATAGGTATAACCTTTTTAAAAGGTTATACCTGACAAGTCGAAAATTTGCAAGAAAAAAAAGCAGAATATTTTCGATTTTTTTGAAAGATTAACAAAAGTCCAAAATTTTTGATTTAACTCAAAAATTCCTATGTTTTTGTCATTGTTTTATCCTCAAAACGTCTGAGATTAATCTAAAAATTTCTGAGATTTTTAGCAGCAATGTACTCCTCTCTTTTTCTACCCAAAACAGCTCTAATGTAAATATTGATGGTGTTTCTGTTTTGGTAATATTTTGCTTCCCTACATCAGAAAACCAGTGGAGTTCCTCTCACCTTCTTGCCCACCGAGCCGGTCTTGGACAGGCAGGACTTGGCCAGGCTCAGGTATCCTCCGATGACCTGGATCTCCTCCACAGCAGGGTAGCGTTTCTTCAGCAGGCTGCCCAGCTGGGCGTACTGGGGCTGCGGGGGAGTGGACCCCGGCGGGGCCTCAGCCGGAGCCTCCTGCTGGGGCTCCGGTGGGCTCTTCTGGGGTTCCGCCGATCGCTTAGGCACCACGGTGAAGGTGTTGCCCTTTTTCCTCTGCACCATGGGGCTGGGGACCGGGACGCGCTGCGGGGGCTCCACCTCAATGTCGTCAATGTTTGTGACCGGCAGTTTGTCCACGGGGGGTTGCTTCGGAGTTGGAGAGACTGGTGAGGCTGGTGAGGTCACGACCGGTGGAGAGGAAGGAGAAGGAGGTACTTCCGGTTCCTTCTTCTTCTGCACTTTCTCTTCTTTCTTCTTCATTGGGGAGTGGGGGGGTGTTGGCACTCCTGGCAAGGGCGAGGACTTGGTCGGACTTGGTGGTCCGGGGCTGATGGCCGCAGTCGAGTCTTGTAAGTTTCGCTTGGGGACCACCGTGAAGGAGTTCTTGGACTGCAGACGGAGGTTTGCGAGGGCCCGAGCCTGGATGTCCCCGTCTGGGATCTGGTCGATGTCCGGCTTCGGGGAGGGACGGATCTCAAACTCAGACGACGTACGTAAGACCTTCGAAGAGACGGGCAGTGAGGAGGACTCGGCACGGACACGGCGGGTCTCCGGAGAACATGGCACCTTGGGTTTGGGGGGCACCTCCGAGGCCTCCCAGTCGCGCTCCCTGGTGGGCTTGCTTTGCCCTCTGTCTGGCTCGTCTTTGGGGACGACGCCCCCTTCAAACCTCTGCCGGAAGGACGACACAGGCTGGGGTGAGCCCGGGTGGTGCTCCGGCTGTGGCTTTGCTTTGGAAGTCCAAGGAGTCTGGAAGACGGGTGATGTTGGCTGGCTGCTGACGCTCGGACTTGGCCTGGGCTTTGGCACCAGAACTGGCTGTGGCTTGGCCCAATGTCTTGGCCTGGCACTGGCACTACAATCCAGGTCCAGAAGGTTCTCCGTGCTGTGCGACTTCTTCTGAAGCTTCCCGTAGTTGCAGTCGAACTTCTGGAGGATCCGGCTGACCCTGCCTTGGCCCTCCCCGGTGTCTCGGGGGCCATCGGGGTCAGGGCGGCCCAGGGTGCTGAGGTTCTCCTCACTCCGGCTGAGCGTGGTGTCGTAGATGACCACTTCCTTGGCTCTGATCTCCGTCACGGCGCTGCCTCTCCGGTCCAGAAGGTCGTTCAGTGAGCTGTAGGTGTCCACCCCGTTCTGCTGCCAGCTTTTACTCTCTCCGGCCTCCGGGAAATAGTCCGGATCCGACTCTATGATGATGATGTTCTCGGCCCGGATGGTCCGGATCCCGGGGACGCTCCCGTACAGCTCCAGGATGTGCTGGACCGGGCGGGCGGCGTTCTCCCGGTCCTGCCGCTTCCGGCGCTCCTTCTCCAGCTTGATGAACGGGTTCTCCTCCAGCGGACCCAGACTCTCCTGGAGCACCAGGCTCTCCCTCGGTGCCGTCCTCTCCGCTGCCGCCGCTCGGGGCTCTTTGTTGTTGGCGAAATGTTGGCTGGCCGTGGTGATGGTGTAGTTCCGCCCGGACACGCCGCTCGCCCCGCCGTCTCTCCTCGCACTACCACCGCCGTTACCGTTCACATTCCCCGTTACATCCCCGTTGACGTGATGCGACCCCGCAGCGCCGCCGGGGCTCGTCTCCGGGGCCGGGTTCCCCGCGGAAACGCCGCCCTTTGCCTTCCGTCTCTCCAGGATTTCTCGCTTCCAGGCCGGCATCCTCGGACTCTCTTGGCCGGAGTCTTGGCGGAGGACGTGGATGTCTCCCCCGCCGGACATTGTGCGCGTTTGGTGGTGAAGAAAACGGGGGAACTCCGAGGCGGACTCGCCGCGGTCCGGTGCGGCGCTCTGAAGGCTGTTATCCGGCTGTGACCGTACCTGCAGCACCGACCAGCGGACACACAAACATCCCTTCCTCCGCCGCTTTTCTCGCTCTCTGCCTGCTTACTGTTTAGCTCCCTTTCTCCTCACATCCCTTGAAAGAGGCCACGCCTCCTCCAGACGCTGATTGGTCGACTCCAGTTAACGACACGCCTACTTCCTGACTATCACCACGCCCCTTTCCATTGGTACCGACGCAAGGAAGAACTGTCCATCAAAACAGTATTAAATTCTATATATATTTTAAATACACTTATCGAGCTAACAGTAAACAAACAGTAATATTTTTTTACAATACATTTTATGTGGAAACCATATAAAATAATTTCATAACAAATATTTATTCTAGACAAAATTTTTATTTCTAAAAAGAAAATGAATGAAGCTTAAAATTGAAAGAAAACAAACAAAAAAATGTATTTCTCAAAACTGAGTAAACAGAAAGACATTTCAGTTGAATCAAAAAAGTGAATTGTTTCCACAATAACAGAATATATAGTTATTTAAGAAATCATAATAAATGGAATATTTTTATATGTAACAGAATGAAACTTGAAAGTAGACACAATTATTTAAGAACTTGTTTTCTGAATTATTTTAAAACTCCTTATATGTCTGTATTAATAAACTGGAACATCATTTTTTAAAAAGTGTATTTATTTCAGTATATCATTAAAAACTAGTAGTTACCAACATTTAAAAATGACAAACAAAATGTAATAAAAAAAATACTGTACTAAATATAATTGTTACCTACAACTTTATATATGTCATATAAAGTTGACATATATAAAGTAGGACAATAAGAATGAACTTCATATTGTCATATGTAAGAATTTAATTAATTATTTAACAATATATTCTTTGACTTATTTTAAAAGTCATTAGGAAGTCGAATATCATTTTAAAAAGTGAGTTTATTTCAGCAATTACATTAAAACTAGAAGAAAAAATAAAAAGAAATGCAAAATTAAAAAAATAAAATGTTTTTAAAGTGTATAATATAGAATACAGATGAATGAATTTCACAAATATTATTTCTATAATGTCATATTATGGCCACAATCACAAGTTGACAGCACTAAGACTCAGCTTATTAAGGTAAAGTTGAGTGGAAGGAAAAACTCACAATAATTAACTAACTTCTAAAGTGCATAATTTGTTAAATATATCCATTATATGTCAATAGGATATTAAAGCATTTATTTTATTTAATTATTTCATCACTGTTTGTTGACACTTTTCTTTAAGCATCAAAGTCAGTGGGCGGGGCTAAAACGTCTACACACAAACCGATTGGTCAGATATTATTTTTAAAAAGTAATAAATATATTCAATGAATAAAAACATAAATTATATTTTGTGATGAAAACATGCAAAAATATCATTATTTATTTCTTGTTTTTAATAGATATTGAATATAAAATGATGGAAACATAAAAATAAACAAATTAATTTATTAACGTTTATAGGTGTTAGGAAGTGTGTGTGTGTGTGTGTGTGTGTGTGTGTGTGTGTGTGTGTGTGTGTGTGTGATCCAGTCCAGTGAACAGCTGAGCTGCTCAGTCTGCTGCACATGAATCAGCACTAAGTGGCCGTTCGTGGTGCTACAGATTACTGCTGCTCATCAAATATTCATGCCAAAGCCATAATTAAACGCAGTCCGACCAAAGAGCGCGACGCAAAAATGATTCAGACCAACCAGGGTGATTTCCTCAATCATGGCGGCTTCACGGACATTAAACCAAAACAAGGAAGTAAACAAACAAAAACACAAATATTTCTGGGAAACATCCAGAGGGACTTTCACTGTGTCACACATGAACTGTTGTTTTAAACATCGACCTATGCAAAGGCTTTGAGCCAGAAAAGCTGAAACACAAACAGAATGAAGGATGTAAATGAGCTCAGGGTTTCAGCAGGTTTGCAGTTTTCTGGAAGTTTGTTCCAAATTAGAAGAGCAGAAAAACGGAATTCCGTCTTTTTGGACACTTTTAGTTAAGATTTATTGACACATATATAAAGTGTCTGTTCTTCCTTTTATATCACAATCATGCACTAATGTGCAGCATTTTTGAGTGTCATAAAAATTTTGATGTATTATTTATTATTGTTGATTTGATGCAGAAAATCCCAACAAAACACGTCAAAGTTTGTGGTTTGAACAGGAAAACGTGGGAAAAATGTTTTTATAAATTATCTTTTCTCTTTTTTTAAACTAACGTGTATCTTTTGTTTTTCAAAATAAAATGTTTTTAGTCAAGCTTTAACAGGATAAATTCATCAGGTTTAATGTTAAATGTAAATATCACTTCCATATTAAAGCACATGTGAAATGAAAAGTATGTGGAGAATAGAGTTTAAAAAGAAAAAAGAATTTGTAAACATGATCAAAAGCTGTTTGGGTGAGTGGCGCCTCCTTGTGGCCAGCTACTGTCTGTACACCATTACATTAACTACTGTTGTTCTTTTTAAATGTTTGTTTTATTTACAGATTCTATACAAATAACCAATGTGTACTGCAGCAAAAACCAGAGGAACATAAATATAAACGTGGATTTTTCCTTAAAAATTCAACATATATATACACAGAATTTTACATCAAGTTTTAAATTAAAGGTTCCCATAAATACATGCATAACATTTACAGAGAAACGTCAGGCTGGGTGAGCGACACAGCGTGGAGGAAACGGAGAGTTTGGTGATTTATGAACCGTTAGCTGCAGAACGGCGACTTCCTGTGGACAAAATAAAGTTCCTGTTGATTAACTTTACTTATTCCTTACAGATTTAAAGAGACAGTGTTGTGCACAAGTCTTGAATTATTCAGATTTCTTCAAATTTAACTTTAAAATGAGCCAAACTCTGTTCAAAATGCTCTAATTTGTCACATTTCAGTTATTTTCTATTTCCTATGTTTTAATTCTGCTACATTATGTATGTTTTTAATATTTTAGATTTCTATCTTTTTTTAAAAAATTTTAACGCAAACCTGATCAGATTTCAACAGTCGGTGCTTTGCACAAAAACTGGTTATTATTCAGATTATTGTCACATTTCACTTCCTCTGATGTAGAAAATCCTAAATCTGAAATGTTTTGGAATTAGTTCTGTAAAAAAAAAAAAAAAAAAAAAGTTTATTTAAACAAATGTAAACCTTTACGATATTTGCTAAAAGAAAAAAAAAAGGGAATCTATCTGTATTTCTTGTAAGAAGATTTATCTCATATCTTCAGTTACAAAATGTACTAGAAACAAAAATCAGTTTTTTGTTTATTTCTTGAGGATGTGACTTTCTGATCTGCAGATTTTTAAAAATCAGTTTGCTTAACATTTCAATAAGACATAAATTGAGATAAGAAATTAATGTCAGTGTATTGAACACAGATGTTTGGCTGCATGGAAGAGAAATGTAAAGAAATGAGGAATGACTCAAGACTTTTGCACAGAGTTGAGTCAGAGTTTCTGTTCTCGAGCACAAACAACAACCTGATCGATCGTTTTCTTCTTCTCTGACCCCAAACATGAAGAACTCCTTCAAGAAAGGTCACAAAATGTCAAAAACTAAAAAATAATACATCAATATTATCCATAAATCTCTGCCACGGCGCAGTGGAGCCAGAGCAGAAACAATAGAGAGCAGGAAAGTTCAGAGAAAAACTCACTTTGTACAAAATTTCTCAGATTAATCTCATAATTTCAGAGTTTTTTCTCTGGAATTTTCGACTTTTCAAACTCAGACTAATCTCAGATTTTTTGTTTTTCACTGAAACTTGCTCCTCCTCTTTCTTTCCTTCCTCCCTCCGCCGGCCCTCCTGCACCGCGGTGAATCTCTGGCGGCGCCGCTCTGCCCTCAGTTGACCCGACAGGCCCGGATCATCAGCAGCTGCAGCAGGATGAAGAGCGGCGACACGATGAGGCCGAACCACAGGTCTCGGGCCCGGTCCTGCTCGGCCAGCTTCTGGCACAGCAGAACCTCGCAGACCAGCTTCAGGCTCAGCACCGTCAGCACCCAGAGCAGCCGCAGCACCGCCAGCCGCTTCTCGTTCTCCTGGTACAGCCGGATCGACACGATGGCCGTGAAGTAGGTGCTGAGGCCGTCGGCGGCGAACAGCGGCACAAACACCAGCCACCAGCTGAGCCGGTCGCTCAGCAGGTCCACCCGCAGAGCCACCAGCATGCTGAAGAGCAGCAGCGCCAGCAGGTGGAGGAAGAGTTCGAAGGTGGCGAAGCCCAGCCACTGGACCAGCTCCCTCAGAGAAAACAACATGGCTGACGGACGGACAGACGGACTCCGGGTCAGAAGGCCAGGAGCTCCAGGATGAGGATCTGAAAACTGAAGGCTTCTGGTGCTGCAGAGATCTCCCACCTGATTGGCTACATCTTCTCACCCAGCCTGAGGGGAAAGGAGAGCGAGTCCTTAAAGAGACAGTGCATACATTTTATAAAAAATTTTTTTTAACATATTTGTTAAAATATGTTGTGACAGTTTGTTATGAGACAGATAATCTCAGCTACTATGTCCATCTGAAGAAATGCACCACCAAAAACAACCAATCAGAACGAGGAGGTGGGTCTTAGCGCTGTCAATCAACCTGTGACTGTGCTGCTAAATGAACTAATACCAAACAACTTATAGCAAAATCATTTATCTGCTATTATCAGTGACTATTCTAACTAGCTTCAGCATTCACAACAGGCTATGCTACCAGAAAGAAGCTGCAGCATGAGAAGCGCCACACAGAGGGTGATTGACAGCCTTAAGACCCGCCTCCTGACTCTGATTGGTTGTTTCTAGTTTGCACTAGGAGAAGGCAGCGACAGTTTCAACAAAAATGTAAAAAACATGTGTATATTTTGTAAAAGTTACATATATACTGGAGGTTTATAACCCGTTTCACCAGGTTAGAAAAGCATCAGCAGTAGATATAAGACCAGTTCTCTGTTTTTAACCAGACAGGCCAATGAAGTCAGCAACTTTTCTCTCCGTCTGTTCACTTCTTCCGGCCATTAAGCAGATATCATGGTCCAGATAATGTAGTGTAACTCGAGTTAGCTACGGCACAGCATCACGTTTACGTTTTAACCATCAAACAGTTCGAGGATTCAGAAAAAACAGCCGAATGCTACAGAATGCTAACCACAGTCATGATGAAGGACTTTATAACACACACACAACAGGCAAACAGGCGTATTCACAAATATATTCACAGTTATGTGGAGATAATTTACCTCAGAAACTAAGAGCGGCTCTTCTTCTCCATGTAATTACAGATGAAACCGGCAGAGCACAACGATGCTAACAAGCTATCATGATAGCTTCTGCCTATGGCTTCTGCTTCTTCTTCTTTTTCTTCTTTGGCTCTAAACAGCGCCTTTAATCACGGCACTGCTGCCACCTACTGGAGCTTCAGGGTAATGCAAGAATTGTTTATCAAACAATTCTTGCAATTCTACCGGCAATCTTCTACTCCTATTTTTATTTATTTATTCAAAAAAATTCTTCAGTGTAAGGGAAGAACATTTTTAACTTCGGTTGGATTCAGTTTTATTTGTGCTTTTATTTGTTTTACTTTAATGATTTTCCTTTTCTACTGCAGTAACACTTCCATTTTGCTTGTTTGTGTTTTATAACGCTTTGCATTGTATTTTTTCTAATTTGGTCATATTTGTTTTATTTGATTTTTTTTTTTTATTGTTTTGCTGTTGACTTTATTTTTTATATTTTACCCAACTGTCCGATTAGTATAAAGTTATAAAAACACTTCCATTTAAATAACTTACTTATTTTAATTAGTTTTTCTACTTTTTATTTAGCTGTTTATGAATTATTTTCATCTTTTCTCATAGCCAAAATTTTACACATGTATATTTTCTTGCCTGCTTGCTATTTTTAAAAAATCATATTTCAAATTTGAACTACAATTAGTATTATATATCTAAATGATTTTTCCTTTTTTTGCAGAATTAGTTGGAATTAGGAATTTAAAGGAATTAGTTTTTTATATTTAGATTCTCTTTCAGCTTTTCAAATGTCTTCAGTGTCTGTTTGATTCATTGTAATTCCATCCATACATCCATGCAAAATGTGGAAATGTTCAAAGTCACTGGTCAACTTGATGTCACAAGAGAGTAAAATTATAAGAAATTAGCTTATTTAGCATTATTAAGACTGTAATTGTAACACACATGATTAATAGAAAGTTTTGGACGTGTTTGATATAAAAATATTAGATTTATACCAAAATGAGCTGCTTTTATTGTAATAGAAAACCGTATTAATTTTATGTCTAAATTTATAAATTTAATACTTATTCCCATCGGTAGTGCCAGCGTGTCAGGCTTGCTGTTTCCGCCTTCACCTGTAGGAGGCGGAAGTGCTACTTGAAGTCGCTGCTGAATATAAGGAAAAGAAGAAGAAGCAGCACTATCAGACTGAGCCGAAGAGTTGAGAAGTCGCTGCTTTCTTACCCTGACGTGAGTTTGTCTATTTTTCATGCATTAATGTCGGATTTTATCTCTATTTTTAATTTTCTTGCAGTTTTATAAAGTTATTGATAACTTCATGTCATTTCCGGGCTCACTTTGGAGGTATTTTATTAGCTAAAATGCTAAAGTGTAAATAGAGTTGACCTACCTGCACACGGTGAAAGAAAGTTTATTTTATGTAAACAGACGCTTATTATTGCATTAAAGTGGCTGGTTTTTAATGTTACTATTTTATTTTGTACCCATTAAAGGGCGCGTCTTGTTTCTGGGAATTATGAATTTAGATTAAAACACTTTTTATTGATTGCTGTTCGTTATTTTACCTTTATCTCAATGTAATTAACACGTTATTATGCTGTTACCTAGATAGCTCAATTAACCTTACTGACCTAAAACCTACACCTTTAACTAGTTTTATGAAGAAATTATTCTAAAACTACATCCAGTTCGTTATGAAAATATTTCGCAATATTTCTTTTTAAAGTATTTTTGTTTATCTCTTCAATAATTGTATATTTTTCTTCTTTTCCAAAGTCAACTAATTTTGTTAAACATTTTTAATAACTTGAATGCTAACGTGCTATTAAGCTTTTAATAGAATTAGATTTAAATAATCATTTTATAACATTTATAAAAGGAAATTAACTGAAAAATTGAAAATATTTAGTTATTTTTAAAGCATCTGCTGACAGAACTATATTCTAATGTGTAATAATTTAATAAAGTGTTTCTATAAAAAGCCTCACATTAGGTAAGTTATGATAAAACCCATGTAGAGCTGCTGTGGCCTCAGGATTATTATTATTTCTCGTTCCTCTGGGTTTCTTCTCTTCTTTTCATCCTGGTTCTTTTCATGTCTGCCCAGTTTTCCCAGTGACTGGGCAGCAAAAACTCGACTTCCAGTTACTTCCTGCTTGAAGCTCGGCTGGTCCAGCTTTGCATTATGGGTAGAAAAATGCATCTAAATGTAGTTTTTATCCTTCCCTGGTTTGATCCTGGTGTTGTTCTTCTTCTGTTTTGTTTGCTGGTAGTTTTGACGATGCAGACGCTGGCCCAGTCGGTCCTCCACAGCGGGTATTTCCACCCGACGCTGCGCTACTGGCAGAGCTGCGCCGCCGACCTCAGACCAGACAGCCTCATCTACCCCATCTTCATCACGTGGGTGGAGCTGCTCCTCCTTTTCTGAAACAAGCCAGGTTTGCTCTGCTTGTTTGACGTTCAGTTTGTCTGCAGAGACAGTCCAGACGCGGTGGAGCCGATCGGGAGCCTGCCGGGTCAGGCCAGGTGAGTCTCACCTGGGAGCTCGGCCCCAGAGGGAAGCCAGGGGCCGAGCTGTCGAGGGACGAGCTGTCGAGGGCCGAGCTGTCGAGGGCCGGCCTGGGCGTTGTCGTCAGATAAACGCTGCTGGGAGGGAAGAGTGAGAATCTGGACTGAGATAAGCAGAGAGGCGGTTAGACGGCCGACCAGCTGGTCTCAGATCAGTTTAGTTTTATTTCAAACTGAGGCTGTTCTCAAGAGAAAACGGGTTTATTTCTATTCATATGATCAAATTGTTTTATTTTGCTTTTTTCAGATGTTTTAATGAATTTTATTAATTCATTGAGATTTATTTTTTAGTTTATTCAGCTATTTATTTTAGATTTTCTTTTTGACATTTTATTATAATTTTATACATTTAATTGTTTTATTCTTTTTTATTTAGCTTTTGAAATTACAATTCTCATAAACTTTTTACTTATTTTATTTGTTTTATTTTTGATTAAAAAAATAAATGTGTTTTAATTTTTTTATTGATAAACTAATAGTATTTAATATTTCATTCAGTGCTTTAATTTTATAAATTTAGATTTATCCGGGTTTTCTTTCTTTAAAAATCTATAGTTTATTTTACTTATTGATGATTGATTTATTAGTTTTACTTCATTTTTTAAACTTATTTTAAATTTATCAAGGTATTTTTTTGCAGTTCATTTCATATTTTATATATTTATTTTTAGTGTTTTTTAATTTTATTATTATTTTGGATTTTATTTAGTAATGGAGTAATATATACTTTATCATATAATATATAAGGATATACATCAATTTTAATTTATTAATATTTTTATTATGTATTTAGTTCAGTGTAATATTTAATAAATCTCATAATTTCCTGTTGTTTTTTTTATTTAAAGCTTTTAAAAATGTTTTATTGATTTTATTTAATTTCTTTTAATTCTACTTCATCTTTTTAGGTTATTTTTACTATATGACGATATTTAGAAAATGTTTTGATCATTTCAGAGATTTGTTCTATTTCATATTTTTATCTTTAATTAAAGGTAATTTGCTGACTGTATTTATGACCTCAGTAATAATCGTCTGTTCTGCAGGTTTGGGGTGAATAAGGTGGAGGATTTGCTGCGGCCGCTTGTTGAAAACGGTTTGAAGTGCGTCCTCATTTTTGGCGTCCCGGCAAAAATAGCAAAGGTCAGTCAAAGTAGATATGAAAAACCCATTAACATGTGAATCAGTAAATGAGCAGCCGTGTTCTGGTTCCTCCAGGATGAACGCGGTTCTGGCGCCGACTCGGACGACACGCCGGCCGTTCTGGCCATTAAAAAGATCCGCAGTTTGTTCCCGGAGCTGCTGGTGGCGTGCGACGTCTGTCTGTGTCCCTACACGTCCCACGGACACTGCGGTCAGCGTCCACTTCCTGCTGGAGGCTCACAGCCGCCTGCGTCATGTCTGACTTTCTTCTTCTTCTCCTCAGGCATCCTGAACGAGGACGGCTCCCTGAACAACGACGCCAGCTGCCTGCGGCTCGCCGAAGTCGCTCTTTCTTACGCTCAGGCCGGTAAAGAGAAACTTCTGACCCAACATGTCTGAACCGAATCTGAACCGAATCTGAACCGAATCTGAACTGAATCTGAACTGAATCTGAACTGAATCTGAACCGCGGTCGTTTTAACCGGGGCTGAACTTCCTGTGCAGGCTGCCACATCATCGCTCCGTCTGACATGATGGACGGACGGATCCGAGCCATCAAACATTCTCTGCTGTCCAACGGTTTGGGGAACAAGGTGAAGCTCTGCAGCAGAATCTTTTCTCAAAAACCCTGAAATTAGTTTATTTTGCTCCATTTTTCTGTTTCCAGGTCTCAGTGCTGAGCTACAGCGCAAAGTTTGCTTCCTGTTACTACGGTCCGTTCAGGTAAAGTTAGCCGCCGCATCAGGACCAGTTGACTTTTTAACTTTCATTTTTCTTTTCTTTTCCTTTTTTCCCTTTTTCAAAACACATGGAGTTCTTTTTATATTTTCTTCTTTTTTCCGTTTTACTTCTTTTTCCTTCTGTCTGCTTTTTTCTTTTCGTTTTTCCTTTTTTCCTTTTAGGAGGAGAAAAAGAATAAAAACATGGAGTTCTTAGGTTTTTTTTTCTAGTTTTTTTTATCTTTTCCTTCCACATTTTCCTTTTGTCTCTTTTCCTTCTATTTGTTTTTCCAGCTCCTTTCTGGTGTTTCTAACTCCGCCTCTTGTTTGGTGTTCTGTAGGGACGCGGCCCAGTCAAAGCCCGCGTTTGGAGACCGGCGCTGCTACCAGCTTCCTGCCGGAGCGAGAGGCCTGGCGCTGCGAGCCGTGGTGGGTTTTCCAGTCCGGTTCTGTTTGAACGCAGCCAGTGAGGCTGACCTCTGGATGACCTCTGGATGACCTCTGGATGACCTCTGGCTTTGTGCTCAACAGGAGCGAGACGTGAGGGAAGGAGCCGACATGCTGATGGTGAAACCGGGCCTGCCGTACCTGGACATCATGAGGGAGGTGAAGGACAAGGTGAGCAGACGAGTTTTTCCACATTTTTGTGTATTTAGCCATTAATCCCTCCATCCGTTTATCTATTTATCAATTCACCTGTTCATCCACATTTATCCATCTGTCTTCATCGGTCCATTTTCGTTATTCCTGTCTTTATTTTCTGACACGTCTCCATTTTTCTGGATCCTCCCTGCAGTTCCCCTCCCATCCTCTGGCGGTGTATAACGTGTCGGGGGAGTACGCCATGCTGTGGCACGGAGCGAAGGCCGGAGCGTTCGACCTGCGGGCCGCTGTGATGGAGGCCATGACCGCCTTCCGCAGGGCAGGTGAGGCAGAGGAACGAACCAAACTGAGGGCGACATTTAGCAGATCTGGTTCAAGGAAAAGAAAAGTTTTCCTTCAGTCAGTGGTTTATAGAACCAGCTGTCAGACCTGGGAGGCCTTTGGGTTTCTACCAGCAACCTTAAGGTTCTAGATTTATCTCTTAACGTCCTTTGACGTCTCGCTGCGTCTCCTTAACTGTTTAAGTTCAGCTGTTGGTGTCACCTGCAGGCGCTGACATCATCATCACCTACTACACACCTGAGCTGCTCACCTGGCTGAAGGAGTGAGGGAGTCGCTCTGCCTGAGGGAAACGTCCTAAACTGGAACCAGATCATTTCTGGACCTTCTGATCTCCATGCTGGGCTGCAGATCTGCTTCGTGGGCCGGATCCTGAAACTGGTTTCTGATTTTAGCTGCTGAAGCCATGATGCATTGAGAATGTAGAAACATGTTTTTGTTTTTTAGCCTAGCGTGTCGCCGCTGCATTAAATCATGAATCAGATAATTATGGCATGTTTATGTAAGAGAAAATAAATAGTTCATTCTGATCTGTGGCTCAGTTTTATTTATTACACCTGATTTTTTATATGTTACATAGCATAAAACATACCAAACTATGGTAATATTTAATAAAGGTTTTATAGAAACTAATGCCTTTTTCTGAAATATATTTTTCTGATATTTATATTGTTTCACTGAAAGATTTTTAAATTCCTTATAATCCAAATTGGATTAATCTGACGTCACATTACAGAGAGAAAGAAAGAGAAATAGATTTCATTTAAAAAAACCTAAAATTTTCTGGAAATACCAAGTAAATTTCTGAGTTTGAAAACTTGCAAATTTGCTTGAAAAATCAACGAGACTTTGAAACTCATTTCTCTAAATGTTTTTTTTTTCTAACAAATGTTCGACTTTTCAAACTCAGAAATTTCCACGTTTTCTGAGCTTTTTTTTTTTGCCAGAAATTTACTCCTCTTTTTTTCTATCTCCAGTTCTCCGCCGTAATTTTAGATTTCTGATTATTAAGGAGAATTTCCATTTAATAGACCAAGAAAAAGAGTGATTCCGTCTGTCACCACAAGAGGGCAGAGTTGCGCCATGTTCCAGCGATCTGAGGCCATTTTCGCTCCATTATTTAACACAGAGACTGACTATGGTAAAGTTGCGGTCAAATTTTTCCTGTATCATCCATCCATCCATCCATCCATCCATCCATCCATCCATCCACAGAAAGAAGAGTAAATAAAAAGAGCCTTTGACGCTGTGATTTATTTCCCCTGACTGCATGGAAAGGTGTTGGACGGTTTTCCAGAAACCAGCGGCTGAAACCCGATGACCCGTTCGGTTCCATTCAGCCGGAAAGATGAAGAGGCTGCAGGCGGATCTGGAGGAGGAAAGGAGCTCCAAGCAAAGCACTGACTCCCAAACTGACCTCTGACCTTCTGCAGGAAAACATTTGACTGGTACAGATCCCTGTAAAAAAAATAAATAAAATAAAAAAAAGAATAAATAAATAAATTAAATAAATACTGGTACAAATTAAACTTTCTTCACCTTATTTATTCATAATCGAAACAAAGTTCAGTTTATTTTGGGGGGCTTTGTGTCACAGACCAATGTTTAACTGAAGACAATAAAAAGTGGAAGATTGCCAGAAACTATTTAATTTCTCTAAAGTAGAAAATAATCCTAGATCAGTTCTTTAGAGGTTTTGATCTCTGAAAAAGTTTTTGTAAAAATACAAAGTCAAAAATTAACAATAATTTGGCTTAGTTAGTTGATCAGAGATGAAAATTAACTATTTATTTATAAATATCACAATTTCAAAGTAATTATTCAGGTTGGAACTAAATATATAGTTCAAAACAAAATATAAACAAAATATTATGTGAGCAAATCAAATATTTAGTTCGCAAGCTTAAGTGTTTTGCTTGCAAATTAAATATTTAACTCCAAATCAAACAGATAGTAAGCTAAATTTTCAGCTTAAAAGCTAAATATTTAGCTCCAAACTAAATATTTAGTTGGTAAAATAAATATTTAATTTGTAGTGGTGCTTCAAACTAAATATTTAGTTAGCAAACTAAACTAAATATCTAGCTTGGACCTAAAAATTTAGTTTGCTAACTAAAAATTTAGTTTCCCAACTATATATTTAGGTTGCTAACAAAATATCTAGTGACCAAACTAAATATTTAGTTTGAAGCTAACTATTTTCATTACAAACTAAATATTTAGCTCCAATCTAAACATTTAGTTAGCATGTTACATACTTAGCAGCTATCCAAATCAAATGTTTTGTTTGAAGTTAATTATTTAATTTACAAATGAAATATTTAGTTACAAACTAAATGCCAATTAAATGTTTAGTTTGAAACTGTGAAAATATGACTAGGAAAAATAATTCCATTTATTTTAAATAACTAAAATTATTGCTGTTAGTTTTTGGCTGTTTAACTTTACAAATGGGACTTCAGAGTTCTCACTGTTTACACCTGAATTCACTAAACTCCCACGACATATTAATATGTTAGAATGGCCTAGTCAAAACCTAAACTGAATTCAGAATGTGTGGCAAGAATTGAAAGCCAGTGTCCATTTTTAATCCAGTTTGACTGAGCAATTGTTATTTTTGCATTTTGCATTGCAACTGCACCTAAAAGTGGTCAAAAGCATGCCACACTTTCCAGATTTTCTTTTTTTTTTTTTGGTTAAAATTTTTGAAAAAATTTGTTTTTCCTTCCAGTTTCTATTACGTAACCCTTTGTGTTGGTCTTATGACGTAACGAGGCCGCCAGGGGGCGATTTAAATTTACCTTTTTTACTTTTATAAACTGATTTTTATTTAATTTTGTTATTTATTCATATACTTGCGCACTGTAAAGACAATCGGTGTTTATGAAGCAGTGTTTATCAAACATATTTGATTTCTCCAGGGATAACTGAGGTATTAGTAGAAGTTTGTAATCTGATTTAGTGAATACTTTGTATTTCCTGAGCGCAGTGAGCGCGCGGTAGTTCGGACGGCGCCGCTGTGTATTTTTTACAGTGTGTGACGTGTGCAGGGGGCCGAGCGGAGCCACGCTCTGATTTAACTTACAGTCATCCGGCTGTGAGTTATCACTCTGGGAGAGGCCGTCACTGTGAGGACCGCGCTGCGCTGGGAAACTACTACAACTTCATTCACCGTGGATTTACGCAGCGGGGACGCATGGCACAGCCGCGCTCACGCCACCGGGCCACGACTTTACTGAGTTCGTGCCACTTGTGAAGGCGCGCGGGGCGAGTTTGGGGTCTTTATGGTGCGGTGTGACTGAGGGAAGCCTCTCCAAGCTGAGCGCACAGAGATGGGGCGCAGAGCCGCGCTGGGCTGCTGCCTGCTGGCCGCGCTCTGCCTCCTCCGCGGCTGCTGGAGCGACATCACCGTGGCGGTGATGCTGCCGGACAACTACAGCATGTACGCGTGGGCTCTGCCGCGCGTGCTGCCGGCCATCCTCATGGCGAAGGAGGATCTGCACGGGAAGCACAACCTGCTGCTCGGCCACAACATCAACATCCTGAACTACAGCACGCAGGACCCCGCCGCGGGCTCGTGCGCAGAGAGCCGCGCACAGGTGCTGGCCGTGGACGCGAAGCTCTACGTGCACCCGGACGTCTTCTTCGGACCCGGATGCGTGTACCCGCTGGCCTCCGTGGCGCGGTTCGCGTCCCACTGGAAGCTGCCGCTGATCACCGCCGGTGGCCCCGCGTACGGGTTCGACGCGCGGGAGGAGTACCGGACCATCGTGCGCAGCGGCCCGACCACCACCAAGATCGGGGACTTCATCAACGCGCTGCACACGCAGTTCAACTGGACGTCACGCGCCGTGGTGATCTTCTACGACCAGCGGCAGGACGACCGGCCGCACTACTTCCTGTCCGAGGGGATCTACCTGAACCTGAAGCAGGAGATCAACGTGACGGTGGAGGCGCGGCCGTACCAGAAGGAGCAGGACCACAAGGAGCTGGTCGGCTTCATAAAGGAGAGCGGCCGGAGTAAGACATCCATCCATTCATCTTCACTGGAAATAATTCATAAACGATTAATCGGATTAATGCCTTAGTGTCCTCAACTAATTTGGTCATAATTCATCTACAGACTCGCATTACACCAAAACTGTACAAATTTTTTTAACATTTTGCATTTAACACAAATAGCTTTTAAACGATTAATCGTGATTAATCAAATTTTTAAATAATCAATTAATTATTAACTCCAATATGTAGACTCTAAAATGGCAAATTGCTGAAAGAACAACATATGAAGAGCAGTAATTATGGCAAAACTGTACAAAAATGTAAACATTTTGCATTAAGCACAAAACATTCTTTATTTTTAAATATGTTGTTCCTAGAATTCCTCAAGTTGCAGTTTTAGCTTCACCTGGATCAAATTAGGCAAAAGAAATCTCTTAAGCAACTGTTGCTGTCCAATTTTTAATGGATTAATCTATAAATACTTACCAGATCAGCCCTGGTGTTCAGTCAAGCTGAACTGTTCACATGTCGATTTTAAAAGTAGTTTTTAGCTGCCGATGCTACAAATAATGAAAGAGCGAATCTGTCCATCCATTGTAAAGTTTAATTAATTAATAAAATTAAATGATTAATTGTGATTAATCCATTATTCAAACAATCGTCAACAAATTTAGTAATTGATCAATTGTCAATTTGAGCATACAGACTCTAAGAAAGGCCAATTGCTGAAAGAACAACACGTTCAGAGCAGTAATTACACCAAAACTGTATAAAATATATACATTTTATATGAAGTCAAGTTCATTTGTATAACGTATTTCAACAATAATCATAAAAACATCATATAGTCATCAATTATGGAACAAGACATGACATAATCAAAATCATCAAGCAAAAACACGTCAAATATGTTGGTTCCAGTTACTACAAATCAAATGCAGCTCTAAACATGTCTGCCTTGATTTAAAGGAACTCAGTGTTTCGGCTGATTTGCAGTTCTCTGGTAGTTTGTTCCAGAATTGAGAAGCTGTGAAGACACTGTTCCAGTAATCAGTGTGACTAAAGATTAACGCAAGGATGACTTTCTCTACATCCTTTAATCCTGGCTTCAGGTGATAGAAGGCTGGCTTTATAACTGTCTTTATGTGGCTCTGAAGGTTCAGGTCAGAGTTCATCACTGACTCCAGATCGTTTCATCTTTAGGTCCAAAGACAAAAACTTCAGTTTTGTTTCTGTTCAGGTGGAGAAAGTTTTGGCTCCTTCACACATTGAATTAAAAACATTTTGTGTTTGCAAATAAATTCAACTCAGAACTTTTCCAAATGGCAGCTTTAGAAAAAAATCTCCCATTAAACACCTTTTGCTGTCTAATTGTTAATTTGTTAATTAAAAAGTAACTTTTTGCATTTTAGGCATTATTTGAATCTTTTACTGTATTTATAGTGTACTAATAAGCTTAAGTGGTTAGATGAAAAATAAACAACAATCGATTAATCGATTAATCACCAGAATAATTGATTAATCAGTT